GACAAGCATGTTGTCCCATCTCACAAGTGACCTGGATGAACATGTTCAACAAATGCCAGTCAGAAGAAAAAGTCACCATGAAGAAGATATGGTCAAAGAGACCTGCGAAGAAATGCAAGTGGTAAGGCATAATTTAGAAGATATAAATCAAGAGGAGAAGATTAAGTCTGACCAAGTTGAAGACAAAGAACAAATAAAGCCCTCAGTTTCTGAGGCTGAATTTGATAAAGTTTATGTTGAAAGAAGAGGAAGCCCACAAAAGGGTGTAACCGAAAAAGATATGTCAAGCATGCTGTCTCATCTCACAAGCGACCTAGATGAATATGTCGAAGAAGTATCTGTGACACAACAAAGCTATCATGAGGACGATCTGGTCAGAGAGACCTGCAAAGAAACAAAACTTATAAGGGACCATTTAGAAGACAAGAATAAAGATGAAAACATTGATCTGGATTTAGCTGATGTCAAAGATCACATTGTTTTGGAGTCAAAAGTTGACCAAGTTTGTGTTGAGAGAAAAGGAAGTCCACAAAAGCTTATTTATGAGAAAGATGTGACAAGCATGTTGTCTCATCTCACAAGTGACCTGGATGAATATGTTAAACAAATGCCAGTCACAAGACAAAGTCACCACGAAGAAGATATGGTTAAAGAGAGCTGCGAAGAAATGCAAGTGGTAAGGCATAATATGGACGATAATTTTAATGAAGAGGGAATGATTAAGAATGATCAAGTTGTGGAAAAAGAACAAATAAAGCCCTCAGTTTCTGAGGCTGAATTTGATCAAGTTTATGTTGAAAGAAGAGGAAGCCCACAAAAGGGTGTAGCCGAAAAAGATATGTCAAGCATGCTGTCTCATCTTACAACTGAACTGGAAGAATATATCGGAGAAGTATCTGTGACACAACAAAGCTATTATGAGGAGGATCTGGCCAGAGAGACCTGCAAAGAAACAAAACTCATAAGGGATCATTTAGAAGACAATAATAAAGATGAAAGCATCTATCTGCATTTAGCTGATGTCAAAGATCACATTGTTTTGGAGTCAAAAGTTGACCAAGTTTGTGTTGAGAGAAAAGGAAGTCCACAAAAGCTTATGTATGAGAAAGATGTGACAAGCATGTTGTCTCATCTCGCAAGTGACCTGGATGAATATGTTAAACAAATGCCAGTCACAAGGCAAAGTCACCACGAAGAAGATATGGTCAAAGAGAGCTGCAAGGAAATGCAAGTGGTAAGGCATAATATGGACGATAATTTTAATGAAGAGGGAATGATAAAGAATGATCAAGTTGTGGTAAAAGAACAAATAAAGCCCTCAGTTTCTGAGGCTGAATTTGATCAAGTTTATGTTGAAAGAAGAGGAAGCCCACAAAAGGGTGTAACCGAAAAAGATATGTCAAGCATGCTGTCTCATCTCACAAGTGACCTAGATGAATATCTCGAAGAAGTATCTGTGACACAACAAAGCTATCATGAGGACGATCTGGTCAGAGAGACCTGCAAAGAAACAAAACTCTTAAGGGACCATTTAGAAGACAAGAATAAAGATGAAAACATTGATTTGGATTTAGCTGATGTCAAAGATCACATTGTTTTGGAGTCAAAAGTTGACCAAATTTGTGTTGAGAGGAAAGGAAGCCCACAAAAGCTTATTTCTGAGAAAGATGTGACAAGCATGTTGTCTCATCTCGCAAGTGACCTGGATGAATATGTTAAACAAATGCCAGTCACAAGACAAAGTCACCACGAAGAAGATATGGTCAAAGAGAGCTACGAAGAAATGCAAGTGATAAAGCATAAAATGGACGATATTTTTAATGAAGAGGGAAAGATTAAGACCGACAGAGTTGTGGTCAAAGAACAAAAAGAAACCCTAATGTCTGAGCCTGAACTTGATCAAGTTTATGTTGAAAGAAGAGGAAGCCCACAAAAAGGTGTAGCCAAAAAAGATATATCAACTATGCTGTCTCATCTCACAAGTAACCTAGATGAATATGTTGAAGAAGTATCTGTGACACAACAAAGCTTTTATGAAGAGGATCTGGTCGGAGAGACCTGCAAAGAAACAAACCTCTTAAGGGACAATTTAGAAGAGATGATTGACAAACATGGAAACATTGACCAAGATTCAGCTAAGGTCACTGAATATGAAGAGGCTACTTCAAAGTTCCAACAAGGTTCTTTCCAGGTTTCCTGTTCTCATAATGTATTACAGCGACCATCTGATCTAGAGAACCTTCAGTTTCAGGGGTTTGATGAATCAGATCCAGAGCCATACCACCTGGATTCATTAGAGGCCAGCCCTGTGATGGAAGACAGGTCATCAAAGAAGTCTCCTGATTCAATTGAGCTAAGCCCTAACACAGAATCTCCATGTCAAGACTCTCTTGAAGGAAGTCCTACTCAACCCAAGGAAAATCAATTACCGATGCCAGTACGGACTGCTGTGTATGAAGATTATGCTTCCCAGCTCAAAGCATGTTTTGCTTCTGATAAAATTATTGACACAGATGAATGTGTTGAAAATGCACTAGAGAACAAAACTGTAGTCCCACAAGTGGAAAGTAAAATAAAGGATGATGAGTATCCCAGCTCTACACACCAAATAATGGGGGTCAGTATGTGCTCAAATGAGAATGTTCACTCAATCATCAGCCAAGACTCCCTTCATAGTAATGACAGTGTGAGTGATACCATCAATAAACAATACACTCCAGAGGAAGAGATGTTTAAGATAGCCATAAAGATAAAAACATTTGATGAAATGGAACAGGAATCAAAAGTGAGGACAGACAAATTGTTAGATGCCCCTACACTGTGCAAGGAAGGTGATCATGAGGAAAGCAGAATAGATCTAAAATTTGACCCTGCTGTACAAACTTCTTCCAAAGATATATTGGACAACAGCTGTGAACAATATGCTGAAGAGAGCAGCTTTATCCAGCTAGTTGATGATTCATTGTGTGTAACTTCTAGTCAGAAAGAGGTAGCAAAGAAAAGCATCGCAGTGCCCCTGATAGCAGAATTAGACAAAGACATGACAGAAGAGGAGAGTTCCCCAGTAGCAGGGGCACAGTTTTTTAATAAACTCAAGGCTTACAGAACAACTTCAGAAGTTGAAGAGTTAACATTGTGTTATAGTCGCAATTCTGTAGACTTAAAGGAACAGGATGTAGGTCAGGAACAAATATGTATTGTAAGTGCAGAGGAAAAAACACCTGAAAAAGTACCTATTCAGAAACCAGGTGGAGAGAAAAGCCCCAGTCCTTTTCAGTTTCAGGAAGGAAAACTATTTGAAATGACTCGAGGTGGAGCCATTGACATGACAAAAAGGGACGATGATGAAGAAGAGGAAGAATATTCTTTCTTTCACATTACGGAGCCTCAAGTTGGGTATATTGCTTTGGAGGCAGCTATTTCAGATACAACCCTTCAAGAAACTCTAAAACCACATCTGAGTCAGGATGTCTGTGATGTAATTTCTAGTCCTACATCTGAACCTTTCACCGAAACCACTCTTGAAAGGTCAGAAATTGAGAAATCGCTTGAAAACATTGATCCCTGTGGCCTTACAGACGTTAACCTTGTTTCTCCAACTGCTCCTAAGAGTCTTACAGATATTTCTGCAGAGGCTGAAAGTCTTAAATGCCTTGGCCTAGGCTATTTGGACACAACAATAGCTGATCTTCAATCAGACAGCTCTGTTGCTGACCATTTGATAGACTCTGAAAAGATTTGTTCTGACTCCTCGTCTTCTGATGATGATGAATTTGATGAAGATGAAGACCAGTGCTCGGTAATAGAAATTACATATCGTCAAGGTTCCCCCCCACCCCAGGAAATCCAAAAAATTCCCAAGGCTGCAGTGGAATCATCAATGCGAGAACCACATATTTCAGAGCTGGTTCAGACTAGTAAAAAAGCAGAAGGAATCCTAAAATCAAGTCGTAGAACTAGATCTGAGGATAAACCAACCAGGGCTCTTATTAAAGATGGTAGGAGTTATTCTGAGAGCAGTCAACCCTCAAACATATTAACTATTTTCCCATCCAACTCAAATACAATTATCCAAGAGGAAGTTTTAGGTGATAAGATTTCAAGTTCTCCACCAATAAATGAAACATCATTGAGGTCTTCCTTAGAGGCTGATGACATGAGCAGCGCCAGTCACATGAGTTCAGATTCTGTTATATTTACATATGACATACAAGCCTCCCATAGTTCAGATTCTGATGGCAGTCAGCTGCCAGTTGTGCATCCATCTTGTGGAACAGAGGATGTGTTTGAATCGAGGCCTGCCTGGGATGATACAGTGGAAACTCAGATGCAGAGAATCGCTGATGATCAGACTCCAGAATTTACAGCAGGTATGGCTCAAGGCGAATTTGGCTTTTAGTCTATCTTCTTTCTTTAGAAGCAAGGTCCTTTTCCTCTTCCAAACAACAGTCTCACCATTATTCATTTGCTGTTATTTTGACATTGGAGTTGGTTCCTTCCATTCTGTACTTTTGCCTTATTTCTTTTGGCACAGTTGCACATTAGTAATAGTATTGCATTTAATCCGTTCCCACTATCTCGGAGGGAAAATGCAATCTCAAGATACAAAAGCTGAAAATTTTGATGCAGCATTATTATACAGTTGGAATCATAAGTAACAGTCACCCACATTTACTAATGTTAACCAACCTAGTTCTACATTTTTACATATTAACCAACACATTAATAACAACGCTAACACTGATGGTCTAAAAGCATGTTTTCTTTATGTGACCTTTATGTTCGTAAGTAATCCAATTTTTGTGTTACCATCCATGAATACATCACATATCCTCATTGAACTTACAGCCTATAGCATTGATTCCTGAGGAAGTTATGTTTTGCCATACAAAGGGATATTTTTTATGTTTTGTATATGCTGCATATGAGACAGTTTGTTGTCTTTAACAGGAGGACATCCCCATTTATTTTTTCAGTTATGGTTGCCTTCTTTTTTTTAGCTGACTGGCAGGATGACATTGACAGGAAAGAGGAAACATTGACAATAATTGCAGATCTTCTTGGATTCAGCTGGACAGGTAAGCAGTTAATTACATATATATATATATATATATATATATATATATATATATATATATATATATATATATATATATATATATATAATTGTAAGATGATTAGATTTTTGGAGATTCAACTTTCATTTTCCTCAGGTAGAGTGTGCCTTAATTCACCAGACTGATCAAAATCTTACAAAGCCACTATTTTCCTTTTTTTGTGAGGTATTCACATTAAGAATATACAAGAAATAAAATGAAGAATAGAATCACTGTTATTAGGTCCAAATGCCTACCTTCGGTATAAGTGCAAAGGTGACACATAAAATAAAGTTTTTCAGTGGAACTTGTACTATAGGCATTACCATTTCCGATTTATTTGTGATTGAATATTTAAATCAGACACAAAAATTTTGTAGTTTCATGAGAAAAAAAGTACGATTTTATCTCTTTAAACAGGAAGCTGTTAGTGAAAACAAAATCTGAACAGAGGTGCCATTGTAAATGAATGCTACTTAGAAAGTTTGTGTGTCTGTATATAGTGTAATTCATTGTCCACTTTCAACACTGTTAACCTCCCTGTATTCACTACAGTATATTGTGTTCAGAATTTTAATCTCTTTCTTATAAATCACCCCAGAGCTGGCAAGGGAACTGGAATTCAGCGAGGATGATATTCAGCGAGTAAGAATAGAGAATCCTAATTCCCTGCAAGAGCAGAGTCATGCCTTGCTGCAAAGATGGGTTGAGCGCGAAGGCAAACATGCCACAGGTATTTAAAAATGCTATCACAAATGTTTTAATGTGGCAATCTCTAGATTTTGTTGCATTTGTTCATACAAACTTTAGCCACTGAACATTAAGACACTCTAAGGGAGATTTAGCAATCGGGTCTCTCCCTATGTTATTCCACTGTGATGCGCTTTTTCTCTGTTTGGTTTTCTTTTCTTATGTTTATTTCATATACAGCTCTTTGAATTGTGCTGTCACAAAAATATGTGCTGTAAAAAAGTTTCAATTTCCTTAATGCTTTAGGTTCCATCACTTACTTTTTTGCAATGTAGCAATCTCACCATCACATAGTTCACCAATTGTTGAAGGACATTTTGTATACCCTTTTTTACTGACATAATCTACATTAATACTTGAAAAGCTATTTTGTAGACAGGAAACTTTATAAATCTCTCTATTATGTTTTTAATGGTTTATTACTAGTACTAGTACCAGATACAAAGAGTGTTTGGATATAATTTAAAAATCTGAAAAAAATCACGCAGACCTAAATAGTAAATGGTTGTTAAAATTATTTTTATATGTTTTGCAGAGGACTGTCTGATAAAAAGACTAACGAAGATCAACCGTATGGATATTGTCCATCTCATTGAAACCCAGATGAGCAAGTCAATTCAAGAGCAAACTTCAAGGACCTATGCAGAGATAGAAAAGACCCTTGATCACAGCGAAGGTAGCCGAACCTTTTTGAGGGTCCTTTTAAACACTACAGTAACCTTTGTGTCAGTTTTCTTGTAGTCTAATCCATTATTCATTTTTGTTTTAGTCTCAGTAGCCCTATCTTCAGTTCAAGATGATACAGACAGCCCCAGAATTGTGAGGAGGGTAGAGTCAGACCGGAGACCACCCCCAGCCGTCTCTGAAGAAGACCTCTCAGTTGCTTCCTTACTGGACATCCCTTCATGGGCAGAACCTGCAGGACAAACCCGTTCGGAGAGCATTCATGGGGATTTATTGGAGGAGCTCGAAATCCCACAGTAAATCACGAATTTGAATTTATTCTTTAATCTGCAATATTGCTTGGACCTGAAATGTGAACTATTTTCATACTTGCAAACCTTTGGAATGTCAGTAAACAGAATCTATTGGGGCCCATATTTTTATAGAAAATTCCTCATCAAGCGACTCAATGGACTGGCCGCAATAAAAGAGATGTCTAATCCAAAGATAATACTTTAAATCAAATGTTATTCACATCAGGTTTTTCTTTTTGCTCTGGTTAACAATTTAATTGTGGATCAAGCCCTGCCAGGCCCAAGTCAGGTGTGGCAGGGCTTGACCTATACTTTAATGTGCCAGTGGCATGTAACTCCAGACAACTGACTGGAATTTGGTCTCCTAGGCTCATCAAGTTAAACACAGGTTCATATGGCAAGATACACTGCTCCAGATCATTCTGTTTGTAAGAAACCGCTGCCTATTAAAGCTCAAATTTGTCTGAAAAAACGAAAACACTCTGATAGAGTCAGTGCCAAGGAAACTAACCAAGGTTTCACACTTCAGCTGTTGATTTCATTGCCATGTGGTAGTGCCAGTCAAATACAAGAGGTGCACATGTACACATTTGGGTTTGATTGGTCAAATGAAGTGTAATTAAGTGTTATCAAGGTATGACATGGCAAATTCAACCCCAAACACTGTGTGGGACATTATGTCCTTATTGTCTCCTCAACTGATCCAGATTTGTTTTACATTTCTAGTTATTACCCTTTATTTTCTGTCATCAAAATCTTGTTTTATACCTATCTCTTTATTTTAACAGTGAATTGAATCCCAATCTATGGAACTCAGAAGACATGGTGGCACAAGACTCTGCTAGTCACAATACAGAAGAGCGAGTAAGTACATGCTTCAGTAAAAAAGAAGAGACATCGAAGAGCCGAGCAGCTCAGGCCCAAGTTTCCTGCTGTAATAAAGATGATTGTGTAAGGTCTGCCAAAGCTGACCTCTTATTCAAACTGGACAGGTGTCAGACCTTACCCTTGAAGCAGTGCGGGTTTATGGATAAGAAAAACCAGATACCAAATGCTATGAATGTACCTTTATCTATATCTATCAGGGACTTTGGTTTAAGCCTGTCTGAGTCAGACAAAGCTGAAAGTGACTTTACTGAGCTTTCTGAAGAGTTAGACTGCACACTTATGCTTGGAAATACAGAAGCAACAAGATCTATTTTAACTGAACTTTATGAACCAGTGTCACCAGCAATAGAACTAAAGATGAATAAGCCAACTTTGGCCATGACCGAAGATGCCACAGATGTAGTGCGCCAAAGTAGGATATCTCAGAAGGAACCTGATGATGTCTTGTCAAGTCATTACAAGATTCCACAGGCTTCATGTTTTGATTTGGAACTCAAAGCTGTCATGTCATACAAAAACAATAATGCTAAAGAACAAGCACAAAAGGATGGGTATCTCCAACAAATTCCTTTCATTGAGGAAGAAAACATTGAAACAGATGACATATCGAATAGATCTATTATTGGTACAGCTTTGTGCAGCATGATGAAACCAGACAAAAAAAGGAAAAATCAGGCTAGTTTTCCACAGAATCAAACAAACAGCTGCTGCATTCATTTGGAATGTGACTCAACTGATAGATATACAAACCTTTGTCCTACATTTGTCTCACACATTCCACTTCAAATTGATCAAAGAGTGACTAAGACAACACCATCAAATTTCTTTGATTTTCATCCTCTGACCCCTGATTTCTTGGTGTCAGAAGAACAGTTTGACTCTTTTTCACCTGTTAGTGAACCAGGCCTTTTCACAGCTGATACATTGATGACAAACACCTGTATGTTTAGGGCATCATCTCCTGAATCGGTAATGTCAATTAGTGATTACAGGGCAATGTCTCCTGATTCTCCCCTGTGTACAAAATGTTTTTTTCCTACAGACTTTTCCAACACACTGGAAGATTCTTGGGCACCTTCTCCAAATCCCAATAGACTCAGCTTGCCAGATATTACTCTAAACTACAATGAAAATGATTTGTACCTACCTACATATGAAGATAAACAAAACATTTGTTCAGAATTGGGTACAACTTCCCATTATTCAGATATATGGAATTTCTGTAAACCACTGTCCTCTGACTCTCAGACTCCTACATATGGTCAAACTGTTCCAGATGTTTCACATATGAAGGCTGAAAAGAGAATGCCTGTGGCCTCAGATGTATTTGATGATTTTTTAATTGAGCTTTTTACGTGCGATAAAAGTCAATTTTCACATGAGTTATTAACTTCTATTCCAGGATCAGAGAAGGATTGTAGACCGTTTTCCCCAGAATCTCAATCCTCTCAGTGTAGCTTCTCATTTCTTGATCTCATATACTCAGAACCATCCCGCTCGCAACTGAGAAGCCAATACTGTAACTACTATTTACTTTATTCAGGTGGTAACCAACCAACACCAACACTGATCAATGATGTTCAGATTGCAATGCCTTGCGAGGAAGTGTATCCAGATATGTCCTTAAGAAAACAATTTGTCAACTCAGACTATGAATCTATGTTGCTTCTTAACGCATCCAAAGACAATCTTTCATCAATTATTCCATGTTCACAAAACTATGATAATGATTGTGTTGATACTGAAGTGTCTAAAAATGTTCCAATACCATCTTTCAGAGATTGGAATTGTGAAAAAACTTTGGGGGATCCAGATTCAGTAACACTTCAGATAAAAGAAAAGAAAGAAAAGAATGAGGAAACTGCAGTTGTGGATTTTAAATATTCTAAAGGTGAGGCTCCTGCAAATATCAGAAGTGAGGAAGTTCTTTGTCATGATGGAACATTTGGTTTATTTCCTTTTACAAGTGACAAAACCAAAACACAACCAAATAAAAATGTACAAACTTACCTGGGTTCCTCTGAGTTAACTCTTAGGTCACAATCTTCTAAAAACCTATTATTATTAGGTCAGTCAGAAAATGATGTGATGGAAAAAGGGAAACCAGAAAATGTATGTGTCAATTTTAAGGTGGGATCCTCAGAAACATATAATGATGAAGAAAGTAAAAAGGCTGTTAAAACCTTTACACTTGTAAGAAAAACGCAAACAACCAACACTCCCTTAGTTTTTGAGTTTGTAAAGAAACCACAATATATTTTACAATTTCAGAATACACCCATTGCTCTATCAGATGAAAATTTGTTGTTTCTACCCAACAGTGACTCTAGACGAACTTGTATAAGTTGTGAATGTAAAGATACTAGAAATATTGAAGATGATGTGGCCAAAGGACTCCATTCAAATCATTTTCCAACTTTTGATTACAAAAACACACTTCCCATGGAAGGAAAGATTACACCTCCTTCCACTGAAAGGCCTCAGTTAGATATTAGAGCTTCCTCTCCAGAGTCTTTGGCATCATTTGAAGGTCAATTTTTGTCTGAAACTTTCAGTGAGTTACATGAGCAACACTGCAGTTATTACCTGCAATATTCAGTAGATAGACCAGGATCAGTGCTATCAATGCTGTCAGATGCGGAGGAGATTGACATTTGTCATCAGGAGATGTTTGTTGACAACCGCACAGAATCACCAGATTCACTTCCTCCAAGACTTAAAGACACAGCAGTAACTTTAACTTCATCTCCCCTTCATGCTGCTGCCAGGCCTATGACATATGCAGATGTTGTAAGGGGTGTTTCCTTTAAAACGGAGTCTGAGCCTATAATTGGTGTCAGTTTGCTGGAGTCTACAGATGTTTCATCCAATTTCCTGTTAGAGGAAGAGTATCGCCCTTTGTCGGTCGAGGGTTGGGTTTCTGAGCTAAACCGTCATTCTCCTAGCTCAGTGGGGTCTTGTAGTGAATTTAGACCCATGTCTCCAGAGTCGCCTGTTCCTCAGTTCACAAGTGCTTGCATGGATTGCAGTATGGTGTTATCAGGAAGCAGGTCTTGTTCCCCAGAATCCACATTATCAGACTGGGAAGGCACAGATTTGTGTCTTGACAATCTTTTTCAAGACACAAGACCAGAGTCCCCCCAGTCAGTTGTGTCAGACTCTGAACTGGACAAGTTATTCAGCAACAGGACAATGTCCCCAGACTCTGTGTCTTCTAACTTTGACTTTACACTTCTC